TAGAAACTAGAACAAACTAATAACATCAGTAATATTTAAACACCTGTTTAGTCACCTTGTAAAAATGTACTAAATAGTATATTTATTATATTTAAATGCATTTTACACTCAAATTGGTGGAAGAGATTTCGTTAGAAAAGTAAGGTAATTTTCAAAATCAAATTTATGCACAAGATAATCAACTAGATAAAGTTAGCTTGAATTTCTAAAAAGTGGAAAGCATTGTTACTTCACATACTCGCAAGTGTGTGAAAAGTTTTTTCTCACGTATGTGGTCATGGCCTTGATGGCTTAAGAACTAAAATAAAGCTCTTTACTGGTATTTTGTTATCAGATGATTGTTTTGATGGCCAAAGGCCCATTCTACTTGTAGTTTGACAGTATGCATGTAGTCTCCGACTGCCTCCTAGTGTGCGTAATAACATTTACTGAATGATAACATGACTCTGTTCCTCATGTGATATCATGGCCTAGTGTTTCAGATTTTTATATATAGTGTTCTCTCATACTCAGATCTGTCATTTCAATATTCTCTTATTAGTGAGAGACTTTGACTTTTTTAAGAGCCAACAAGATAGTTAAAATACCACACATTTGCTAAAATAGCACTTCGATTATGTTTTTTTTCCCAAAGAGATTAATCGTGGATGTGTTCTGAATGGGATTTTTGTGTTAACCTATGAGTTAAATTTAAAAATATGTAGTGGTAGGTCATGGAATGTTACCTTTTAGTACATGTATAACCAAATGTAGAACTCAAAAATCATAACCTTAACAACAGTTGCCAAATAAAAACTGCAACTCACTGGAGATATTGTAACAGTTTATGAAATGCAGTTTAAGAAGAAGTGTTCAGTCTGGGACTTGTCTGAATAGACAGAAACTATGTCATATTCCAAGAGCTTAACTCTTTGGCTAACATTGAGTAGGTGAACAATATTTATTTCACAGAAACTTGCCGAGTTTTTTCCTCAATTTTGTGTTGTCTCTATGACTGATTTTACTTTTGGTGGTGCTGTTTTGCTCAAGTAGCAAGTACAGTAAATCTTTTTGTTATGTCCCATGCATGCTTTGTATGTATGTCATAACTTGGTTATCTCACATATCTTATATAAGCATAATGATGTTCATGAATTTTTTTGCATGTAATACAAGTTATTATTGTTTTGGTCTGATTGGAGACATGATAAATAAACTATGATTCATAGGTGTATTTTGCATATTTGGAAAACACTTTTATCAGACGTCATATCCAAAGTCAATATAGCATTCTTAATCTGTATTGCTGATATGTTGCACATGATTCATTTCATCTTACATTTTTTTGTCAAAAACAGTTATGGCAGGAGATTATTTTTGGTTTCACATGCATTTAAGGGGCTCCATTTGTGGTTTGTAAAGATAATTACAAATTAATTTAATTATGGCTGCTGGATAAAGGTCTTAATTTGTAAAATCTCCTTTTTAGAATTTTAAATAACGGAAATATTAACCATTAGGATTATTAAACCTTTAATTTACAAGTCTGGTTCTTTCTAAGTACTGGTTGGACAGATTTCATCAGTCTTACTTAATATTGTAATATTAACTTTTATGACAACATGCCATCAAAACATGGTTGTAGCACTTACAGATACAAAAATAGCAAAATATGAACACTGATATTGAAGCAGCCATAAATCCAGAGCAACTAATGTATAAATAAAATTAACTGTAGTATATCTGGTGCAAGTAAAAAAAAAATAATGTTTTTTTTTACCTTGCAGATATGATTATGATGAGCTTTTAAAAAATGCAACATTTTGTTTGACTCCTCGCGGAAGACGTCTTGGCTCATATCGTTTTTTGGAGTCCCTCCAGGCTGGCTGTATTCCAGTGTTGCTAAGCAATGGCTGGGAGCTGCCTTTTTCTGAGGTGATAGATTGGAGCAAGGCTCTGATTCAGGGAGACGAACGTCTTTTGACTGAACTTCCGTCTGTTGTGAAATCCTTCAGTCAGGAACAAATCCTGGCTATGAAGCAACAAGCTCTGTTTCTTTATGAGGCGTATTTGTCATCTGTAGAGAAGATCTTGCTCACTACATTAGAGGTGAGGAACAGTTTGACCGCTATTTGCTGTTTATTGGGGACCACTGAAAATGTCCATGTAAAGTGGAATTCACTATCAGAGAAACTGTTCTTAACTTTGAGGTGTTCATATTCTACAGGTGTTTACAAAGTCATGCTCAGCTGTATGTTCAAAATTGCTAGGCTCATTTTGATCCATTTATTGAGAACTGAAATTTTATAACATTTCCAACTTATGTATGGTGAAACCCACTCCATGAAGTGTAGACCATCTAATCATTCTAGACACCAGAGTTGTTTGTAGTTTCCAGAGATGTGGGAGTCTTAGAAAAAAATCCCTTCCATGGGGGAGGTATGGATATTTTCTAGAACTACTCAAGGTCGAAAAATCCTCGTAATGATTGTGTGAGACTGCACACTTTTAGTAACTGTAAATTTTTTAAAAAAACTCATTACTTTCCTTCCCTGTTTTGAGATACTCTTTATAATAATACCATTATCAAATTTCTTAGTCTCAGGACAATACTTACATGTCCTTGTCACTACCTTTATAATGTTCTGGAAGGGGTGGAAAGTTCTATTTTCAACAATTAAAGTGTATTGTACAGTTTCCTGATGTTGAAGTGAATAACACTGGAAAGTACTTAAATTCCATTATTCTGATTACAGCATCCTCTCAAGTCAATGTTTCATATTGGCATGATTATATTTACATGAGCCAGAAGTTTGGAAGACTTTCTAATAACAAATTTTGCTGAGGTCTTTTATGACAACAAGGCATTGCTTAGTTGATTGGATTACTTCCTTGTCAGAACTTACTTGTAGCTTCTTTTTGCAACCTTATTAAAGTGTCTAATGGAGCCTACCGGACAGGATGTTTCAACTTTGACCTTATGATTTGATACNTTTGTTGTTTATTGGGGAGCACTGAAAATGTCCATGTTAAGTGGTTAAGTAATTTGCTATCAGAGAAACTGTCCTCAACTTTGAGGTGTTCATATTAAACAGGTGTTTACAAAGTCATGCTCAGCTGTATGTTCAAAATTGCAAGGCTCATTTTGATCCATTTATTGGGTTAACTCTTGAGAACTGAAATTTTATAACATTTCTGACTTACGTATGGTGAAACCCATTCCATGAAGTGTAGACTGTCTAATCATTCTAGACACCAGAGTTGTTTGTAGTTTCCAGAGATGTGGGAGTCTTAGTAAAAAATCCCTTCCATGGGGGAGGTATGGATATTTTCTGGAATTACACAAGGTCGAAAAATCCTTGTAATGATTGTGTGAGACTGCACACTTTTAGTAACTGTAAATTTAAAAAAAAAAATCATTACTTTCCTTCCCTGTTTTGAAATACTCTTTATAATAATACCATTATCAAATTTCTTAGTCTCAGGACAATATTTACATGTCCTTATTGCTACTTTTATAATGTTCTGGAAGGGATGGAAAGTTCTATTTTCAACAATTAAAGTGTATTGTACAGTTTCCTGATATTGAAGTGAATAACACTGGAAAGTTCTTAAATTCCATTATTCTGATTACAGCATCCTCTCAAGTCAATGTTTCATATTGGCATGATTATATTTACATGAGCCAGAAGTTTGGAAGACTTTCTAATAAAAATTTTGCTGAGGTCTTTTATGACAACAAGGCATTGCTTAGTTGATTGAATTACTTCCTTGTCAGAACTTACATGTAGCTTCTTTTTCCAACCTTATTAAAGTGTCTAATGGAAACTACCAGACAGGATGTTTCAACTTTGACCTTATGATTTGATACTGCGCTTAAACGTATTTAAGAAGTTGTTTTTCTCAAATTTAAGAGTGTGAACAACATCAAAAC